CAAGAGCTGGTAAAAAAAAAAAACGAACAACAAAAGAATCAGTTTGAAAACACTGCACTATACGTAAATGAAAAAAGATACTTAAAACACAAGAGGGTTTTCTTAGTAAAATATAGAAATATAGGGTAAGTGTGTCTAAGTTCGGCATGTCCCAGTAGTCGGCACTTTTTATTTTTAAGCCCAAATAAATGAAACTATTATAACTAAATGTGTTTTGTTTACTTCAAACATATTGTCAGCTATCTTTGTGTACAATTTCGGTAAGAAAAGATGATTTATTCTAATAAAAATTAAATTTTTGTCTGTGAACGTCCTCAACAATCCATATTCTTAAGAAATATTATATATTATATTTTAATATTATATTTTAATGAAATAATTTATTATTATTATTAATTATGCTTACAACAAAATTAGTATGCCGACTGTTGGAACATGCCATACCGACAATTGGCAAGTGGTGCCGACTACTGCCAAAAAAGCATTGTTTTAATAAAACTACAAATTTATGAAATTTAATAAAAAGTTATTAAAACTTTATTTATTATTGCAAAAACTAAACAAAATTTCGAATCTGAATAAATTAACTTTGTAATAATTGAAAATTTCCATTCAGAATTGTGAGCAATTAAAAACGCGAAAATCCTAAAGGTGCCGACTACTGGTACACTTACCCTATATTCTTAGTTTGGTAACGATATTACTTTAAGCACAACGATATGTGCTTTCTATGCAAACGATATCGCGGGTGTTGTCTGTCCGAATGAAATACTACTACTATAGCGAAATACTACTGATGTCTAAAGGCGGCGGAAAAACAAGTGACAACTAATTACTCCTTCAAATGTCAAAGTCGCTAGCACAAGGTTGCAACAAACCATGGCTCGTACATTTTAACGAATAATTCAGGACCAAATCTAGGGTCACTATAAATCAATATTTAATGTAATTCTAAATTAAACAAGAGGCATCAATGAATATTATTTTGAGGCATAGAGAAGCAAACGAACAACTCGAGAAACAAACTAAGAATATCATCAGCAAATTGCCCACAATAAAGATTGAAACTTAATCGAGAAAAATACGTGTTCAAGGACACAAAATAAAATTTGTAGGACACATCTCTAATGTATCTGTTTTCTGAAGACAAACCTGCAATGCTGAGAGTACTAGGCATGCCAACATACCTTGCATTACACATTTGAGGACTGAGAACTGATCATAAAAGACGAAGAATAGTCCGGCCACATCATAAGTTATATTTACAAAACTTGTCTCCGACTTCACTACTCAAACATTATGATCAATATAAAAAACACTTTATTCAGCTCGACAGAAATTACAAACAACTTTTCTACATGCATTATAGTTATGCGTTATCTATAAAAAAGGGACATAGACAAAATAGAGAGGATGAGAAATTAGAAATGCATGCAATTTCAATATATGCAAAGAAAACAGAAGATAAAACTAAAGACGTTTTTATCTCAGGCTAAATTTGGAAGACATACGTTGGGGTAGGGAAAACGTAGCCAACAAAGTCAATGATTTGACTGAAATTCTAGTGCAGACAAGACAAGGAGGACTAAATTGATGTTATAAAATTCAGCCTTCAATTTAATAAGCAATAGCAATCAAAATATGACAACTCAAAACTACTTCGCCATTGTTGTAGTAGAAGAGACAATTAAGTTACGATTTTGGGAAAATATTACATCCGCGCTTAATTGTAAGCTTAAATACAGCAAACTAAACATACGCGCAATTAGCCAAACCCTTCTGTGTTTTTCTTTACTTTCGATGTGTTTTTTATAATATTATCTGACGAAATCAACTCCATTGGGAGAACCCCGTCGACATTCGTTCCATGAGTCGCTATAGTGTTGACTTGACAAAGTGTTTACGCGTCAAAGATTCTTCATATAATCCAAACGCACGGTGCAGAAGTGCCGAAACGATTCTAAAGATAGCATATGGCTGCATAAGAGCTTAACATTAATCTGGAAATCGTATTTATGTTTATTCACCCGGAACACATAAACATTACATTTCTGTTAAGTTTTCTAGAATAAAACAATCAATAGTTCCCATTAGTTCGAATTACTTGGGGTAATCCTTGACAACAAAAATAAATGGAAGGATTACATCCACCATGAAGCAACTGAAGCCTGCAGATGTTGCCAATGAGTAGAAGATGAATATGGTTGAAAAAGGAACTGAATCGTAATATAATCCATTTATTTCACATTATCGCATTTGTGGTCTGAATTTACATCCTTATATAAAAATGTATACGAAATTTTAATGAACAAAAGAAAGTGAAGAAAAAGAAAAAAAAGGAAGAAAATGAAACACTTCGAAATAATTTGATTTCACCAGTATCAGTCAAGAGTTTTTTGTATGTCACGATTCCAGATCTAAGGTGTGTCAGTGTTAAGAACACAGAATTCATAAACTAAATTGCTTCTACTCCATGTACTGTTCTTTTAGATTCATTCTGCATGCACAGTGGTCGAGGTTGTATGGGAACAGCGGCGAAAAATACTTTCAGGGCAGATATCAATATGAATCTTTGGTTATGGTACCTTGATGGGATAAAAATAAAAAATGTGACAAAATGAATGTGGTCGATGCATGTTTTGGCATGGTCCCCTTACAACCCACCTCCCGTTTATTATTTGCCCAATTCTTGTTAGATTTCTACACCAGATTGTAATATTATTTGACTTTTTACGTTCTAAGGAGTTAAAAACTAATCTTAATGAAAATTATTTGGAACAGCCCGCCTTCAGGTAGAGTCCCCCTGTAAAGGTACCTCCAAAAATAGAAGCATTTTTTATACAAATCAAGTCCAAATTTGATTGTTTTTTGTAAACAAAATAAAATAACAATTTAATGTAAAATTAAGGCCCTAGAAATTGGAGATAATCGGTCAAAATTTAGGTATAGCTCCCATATCTCTTCATCCAATTTGCCTTATATTGTGCACCAAACTTGTCATATCAGCCCAAATAGTATGGCATATACGTACGACCATATTGGACCTGTATTGTTTATCCGATTTGTTATTTTTGTCCTCCGCAGCCGTAATATGCACTCTGGAACAACGACATTTGGGGAAATATATAAAATATAACTCAGAAATGCCCTTTCTAAATTTTATCGAGATCTGTTAATATTTGGATATGGCTCAAATACAAATCTTCGTCCGATTGTCCTTTTATTGTGCACCAAACGTGTAATGTTAGCCCAAATCAAATTTAGATATAGCTCTCATATATATCTATCCAATTTCAAGTTAATTGTGCACCAAATGGATAATACAAACCTGAATTGAAAAGGCGCAAATGCCTCGACAAATTCAGAGGAGGATATTCCTCACATATATTAGTTCCTTTGGACTTTTAATTATTACTATAATCATAGTTGGTATGATTTAATTCTCACAAATTCCCCATTAAAACATTTATTTGTTATGTGACGCTCTACTAAATATGCAAAGGTATCATGAAGTCGGCCACGCCCGACTTTAAGACTTTCTTTACTAGTTATTGTTTGGTAACGTTAGCTGTCCCGTTATAAAAGTTTCAGAGCTCAGAAGAAGACGGTTAATAAGATCTGTGTTTGTTGAAACACGAGATTTTTTGGAGTATGATTTAGTCGAAGCTTTTTTGTTTCTAGACTCCACGGCCTCCTCCTAAAATTATCTAATCGATATAATGACAAATTTATAATGTCGAGTGCATGTATTAAAATTTTATGAACTGTGGGTGGAAGATAGTGCATGGATATATATTTGTTAACTCTTTAGCAGTTTCCAGTGCAAAGGCCTTAAATTTTTCGACAGTAATATTATATTCAGAAGACAATGCCTTAAACATTATTGAACACCCCTCAATTACATCCTTATCAATCCAAAAAAAAAACATATTCTATCACAAGCATCATAGAACTGACAAAATTGCAGCGAAGTCACTTTAGTATTTTGGGCATAACATAAACATCTGACAAAATCTGAAAGCTAAATTAGCATTTTTAGAATCATAGGGCCATTACTAATAGCCTAAAAAAATCACATTGGAGGATTCAGGGGGGAAAACAACTAAAACTTTAATTGAAATCCAATTTTATTTTCAAAATTAATCTTAAAGGCAACTCAGAACACTCACTGCACTAAAAAGAAGTCAGTACCTTGCTTTTCAATAATAATACCAAGATTTGTCATTTTAAAATGTATTTAATTTTGTAATACAGTTCTATTTTTACTCCACTTTTTCTCTGATCCCACTGAAAAAAAGCAACTAACAACATTTTCTCTTTTTTGATGCAATTTTTGAAGTGGGCCGTTAGAATGAAGCCAAGATTATTATGTTTTCTAAAAAGCTTAACCCCTTAAAAGTTCATTTGTACACATTTGACAATAAATAGCTAATTTTCATTTTTTGAATTTTGGCCAATGGCAGCGACCACTGTGGCATGGAAAGAATCCAACAGTAGGGATCAACAGGTCCTAGAGAAAAAAATTTAAGGTTCAGAACATGTCGAACTTTTAACACTCTCTACCATTCGGAAAGTATGAAGGTTAAAAATATGTCTTTAATTTCTGGAATTTAATATTCAGCTGACATATGTGTGTTTTATTATAAGGAATTTTAGTACCATGTGTAAAAAAAATGTGGAGGACTATGACTTTAAAATTTATCTTCTCAACATCAGCAACCTCCGAAATGCGTTTAATCCATACCAATTTCCTGTAAATCGGTTCTTTATTGTAAACGGGACACAAAACATTATTGTAAAGAATTGTCTATATACGTCCATGTTGGGATATAATTACGTTATAACTGGCAAGTTTGACACAGGGCTAAAGGATAGATTTAATTATTAGTGTGTTCACAATGAATTTCACCTTCAAATGGAATTACCTCACAAATTTTCAGTTTACAGAAAATTGGTTACAATTTAATTTGTTAAATTAATTAATAGTTTCTTTTACTTACCACAGTGGCTGCCTTCAACAGCAGCCCATTAAAATTATCCCGGCAATAGATATTTTGCGTTCTGTCAATATAATCCAGAATGGTTGATGAACCATTACTAAAAAAATTTGCCAACTGAATAAATTCTAAGGCTGCATTTAAATGGCGTCCCTTGGAATGACAATCAGATACGACAAAAGTCGAGTTTTGCCGATGTACCTTAATTAATTGTGCATTTGGTCCAATATTTTTAAGTTTGTAAAGCAGCGGTAAACATTTGTTCGCTGCATCCCACAACATCCATTGGTACGTTTTATTAAAAAACATTCCATTTGACCCTTTATGTAATACATCACCGGCCTCAATACATCTGCAATCGATAAATATTGACGTCTTAGCGTGCACTTTAGGGGTAAATAAGGCCTCCATACATTTGCTGGATTTCAAATTTACAATCTTCATAAACGTATTAAATGATGACAATTGTTTTATTCCCTTTGCTGCTTCTAAAAAGGCAAAAAATTTTATATTCTTAATTAAATTTACTAAAAACGTATCGTCCAGTTGTCTGACTCGTTTATATTGAAATTTTCGCTTTATCTAGTAAAAATAATCCAATATCTTCCAATATTTTGAACATGGCTGTATGAATGGGTCTAAGAAGGAAATTCGAGTAAATCTCGAATAAGATGTGGAAGGGCTGATAAAAGAAATAGATAAGTTTTTATAAAGAAACTTGACTAGGAGGTAAGGCAGAGAATGTTTAGGTTTCGGAAAGAGGTATTCCATGCCTAACCCCCTGGTAAACATTGCCATCCTTCTTTATTAATAAGCTGATGATGTTTTTTATAAAAGCAACAATAATGGGATTAACCTAACTATTACACAACAACAACAAGAAAGTACTATGGTGTCCCGAACAAATACACTAGAGCCCCGACTTGTGTCGTCCTGATTTGCGTCGTTGCAATTTCACGTTGCGTCGGTGCGAGCTACATTGTTGATTACTATTTTTTTGCATTTGCAGTGCCTGATTTAGCATATTTTCTGTCGTTTAGCAGTTTTACAGCTTCTGGCAACACTGATCGTCACCTGTACGTTAACAAATTTTCAAATTACGTGAAATAGGGGGAATTCCATTTTCTTGGTGGTGCTAAGAACAACTGTCTGGTTGTGGTAAGAATTTAGTGTGTGATTCGCCAGAGTACATTAAGGACGTCAAAAATGAGTCAAAATAAATGAATATTAATAAGTTTGGAATTGAAACTGGATGTGATAAAACGTTTTAAATCGGGCGCAAGGGCTGTTAATATAGGAAGAGCTCTTGGACTAGCCCCTACAACAGTAAGAACAATTTGCAACAGAGACAGTGATAAAATTTTAAAATTAGCTAAAATTGTCACACCACTCCAATCTAAACAAGATACTTTAGCAAGAAATCGCTTATCGCCGGCGCTCTAAAAAAGGCTTGGATGACCACTACCCTGTTTAAAGATTGGTTAGAAAATTGTGCCATTCCTGAGTTTATTGTTCCCCTCAACATATTGAGTTCAAAATGTGTTTATTAGTCGATAACGCATCAGGACATTCAACTTTTTCAGATGACTTACGGGGCATGTAAAAGTCGTTTTTATGCCGCCCAACACAACATCACTTATTCAGCCCATGGACCAGGGTATAATTTCAAACATTGAAATGTAATATTTACGCTGAAGTTTCCGAAAAATTCTTGATTCAACAGACAAAATGATCAACTGTCTATTAAAAACTTTTGAAACAACAGCATAGTGAAAGCCATAGGAAATATACATTTATCTTGGGAAGAAGTTAAGGAATACTCCATGAAAGGGAGTTGGCGGCAATTATGGCCAGCACTTATTGATGGAGACGAAGATAGTCTCGATGATGTTCCAAACGTTAGTAATGAGTTGGCTAATTTAGCTAGAGAAGTAAAATTCGAAGGAATGGAGGAATGTGATATTAAAGAATTTTTGCTGTCTCAGGATGAGGAGCTTGATGATGAAAATTTATTATTTATTGATATTCAGCATGTTTCAGAAGAAGATGTCATAATAAGTGATGATAAATTAGAAGAAAAAAAAATTAGCAATCGCCAATATTTCCAAAGCTATGCAATTAATTTCCCTTGCAATGGATATATTTTCTGAAAATGATCCTGACGAAAACCGTAGCACGGGCGTAGCAGCATCTGTTGATCAAGCCATTAGTCGCTACAAAGAAATATATTAACAAAAAAATCTTTAAAAAATCACCAAACTTTAGGCATTTTTGTTAAAACAGTAAATTACAATTTTTGAATGCATCTCCTTTTTTCGAATATGTATACATACATATGTAAATGAATTTAATTTTTAATTTAGTTATTTCTTTATAATAATTATAAAAAATCGTTGAAGGAAATGGAATAAATAAAAATGTATTTGTACTTGAATTTTTAATCAAAAAAATATAAAATTATTTGCTTTGTTTTGAATATTTCCCCCAGTAAATTAAATTTCAGTGCATTTTGCAAATGTATAGAAAAGGGTTATTCGATTTGCGTCGTTTTGAGTTGCGTCACCATAAACCGGTCCCCTTTAGCGACGCAAGTCGGGGCTCTAGTGTATGCAACATTCCCGAAACCGTTGTGTTTGTTTCAAGCCAGTATTTTGTGCTAAGATTCAAAAAATACTCAAACTTGATTTAAAAAAATAAAATCCATTGCTGATTCTTTTAAGGAAGCACTAAAGTCCGTCATAATATCACATTTGACAAAAGGAAAAATAACGTCATTAAGTGGAGTCAGACACCACACGGCAACGGAAGAGCCCGAGGTAGTACATGAAACAATATCCCAGACGAAGTCATAGTTGGTGTAGATTTTATGATCGCCTTTTGTCTTAATCTGGATATGGAAGAATATAAAATCTGCACCAACTATGACTTCGTCTGTGTTATAACGGAGTCTAATGTTGAAATTCTGTTATATAAGGACTTTGACGAGAATTCATCAGACAACGGTAATCAAAAAAAAATCTCTAACGCCGAAGCAAAAAATGGTTGCTTATGACTGGAGAGTGTATAGTCGGGATATTGTAGGGAAAAGAAAGAACGCTCAACTTACCACCTTTCGGGACAAGGAAAAGTAACTGCTATGGAAATATGCCTCTACTTTTGCGTTTACATAAGAGCATCAACAGGTTTCAAGAATTATTTCCCTTGCAAAAAGAGTCGAAGTCCAGAAGCTAATAATTGAAATGGAGGAAAGTGACTAAGCATTTCCTAAGCAAAAACTTCGCCGGAAAGTGCCTCAATGTGCCTCAAGATGCAATCGCCTCATGAGGTCCTGCCAATACATTATCTACATACATGGATTTTCGCAATATGTACGCAAGTGGCAATAGAATCCTAATAGCTAAGTAAAGGCACAATTCAAGTCAGTGCTTGCTGGTCCCGATACATTTGGGTTATGTCTAAATTAAACACGCATTTAAATACTCACCAACCAAGAATCAGAAGTACAAGATCGAGTTGTAAAGTGGTTTAGACCATTCCCATTACATGTTTTACTCGAAGCATTAAGGACAATATGAAGTGTAATTGTCTGCTTTTCGGGGTTGATTACTGGATGATGAAGCAAATATCATGAAAGGCTATTAGGATTATCAGCAAAGTTCGAAATATTCAGTCAGAGCCTTATTACACATAATTGAACATGCGGCTTTTTAAATATGGGCTCCTCCTCATGAATTGCTTAAGGAGGTTACCACAACATTCCCCTAAATACCAGTACCTACTCAGTTAATATGAGCATGTATATGCCGTCTTCTCCAACACTTATCGAGGTAGCAATCGTTCGAATTACCGACGAAGGAATCGGGCCACTGAAAAGTCACTTGAGTCAAACGAATATTTTGGATATGCGACATAAAGTTGATGAGACAGTAAACGATTAGTAAAATAGTAAAAAGTAAAATACTAAATCATTAGTTTTCAACAAGACTGATCAATCCTAAAAACTTCCAATTTTAATCAACAAAATTTCCATCAATTTACCGAAATTGCACAATTAACACCCGGATACAAATATTTGTTGAAAATATGGGGAGTTTTATATAATTTTTGAGACGCTCAGATAAAAAGAACAGTTCAAAAGCCCTAGCTGGGTAAAGTATTCCGCAATGAATTAAGTTTACCATCGCACTGATTCATTTTACGCCGCGTGAAATACTTATCGGGAATTACCACTAGTTGATGTAGAAGTAATAGATGGATCAACCGAAGAACTGTAAGGATGATTTTAACGTTATTAATATTTCTATTAGCAGAGGATTTGGCAGAAGATGATTTAGAACCCGAAGTACCATTTTTATGCAGCAATTAGTAATTATTAGCCTCGTGACCATCTCATATAATTAACACGCCTATGTGACGATGACAATACAAAATCTAGTAGAGATAGACGCGTTTTTAAAACGAGTACACACAAAAAGGCGATGATTATACTGCAGGCGAAGAAACTGTCAATTAATAAGCTATCTATCAATGCGCGGTCGACGAAAACCAATCAAAAAGACAAAATCAATCATGTAAAACGAAAGCATAACAAGCGGAAAGAGATGAAAATATTTAGAACACTTTCCAAAAGAATTTTAGTTTAATGTAATTCTTTGGTTCCATCTTGTCACTTGGATATTTTTTTGCCTGGGTAGAATACACCTGATAAAAAACAAGAGAGCTGATGAGGATTGGTGGCTCTTGCCGAAACCTAGGTATTCACTAGCATACCTCCTGGCAAACATTACCATGTTCCTCCGCTAATAAAACAACAATAAGAGGACTATTTTAATACAATTTATTTTTATTTTAAATATACCTTAATTATAATTTGTAACAATTTTTTAGACACTCCACCATACATATTATGGAGGAAATAATAAGTTCGACGTCCCGTTTGTAACTCATCGAAATACTCTTATCAGACCTAACAAAGTATGTCTAATATTTTTCATTAATGTAAAATTCTAATTACAAATTTCATATTTTAAACTTCTAATGAGTACTATGTCCGGACGGAAAATTGTCTATTTAGGTCCAATTCTTCATATAGCCCACAAATAATGTCACCTCCATTTATTCGATATTTTAATGATATTAGCGACAGTTTTACCGGAATTTATTAAAATTTCGTATTTAAAGTTCGTAATGGGTACTACCTTTAAGCGGTATTTTTCGACGGAATTTTTTGGACATTTTTCCTTAAAAATGGTGGAGGATATTAAAAGTTCTGCCCGGCTGAATTCTTTTTCATGATGTCGAGAATGCAGTTTTTTTTTTTTGCCAGTAGGAAGGTTAAGTTATGTCAGTCCACGTTTTCGTATAGCCCTATATAAAGGTACCTCTCAATATTCAGTTTTTGAGGACTGTACACACAGGAATATTTTAATGGATACGTCAACCTATGACAGAAATGATATATGATTGTCTTCGTATTTGAAAGTCCTAA